GTCAACAATGTAATGAAATGTTCAGGATGAGAAGAACCGATTCGACTCGATAAAAAACAAAATAAAAAATCCTACAGTACATGATACATGACATGAGATATGACAAACATACATGATATACGACATGAGATAAATATACATGATATTTTGCAACTCAGTTTTTGATTGTGATCTTTTTGATACCTAGATGCAGCCACACACCAAAATGGAAGTTGCTGCCTCACTAATGTTTGGAGCATCACGCTCACAGCGTGCATGGACGGAGGGAGATCATTTCCAAATCCCCAAATCTGCTCTTTTTCATGCGCTGTTGGAGGACTGGAGACTTTTGTTTTCCCTTGGTTGGTTTCTCTAAACGAGTTACAACGTTCCACCTGGACAAGAAGTTAAATGAAATCATAGAGAAGTCAACAAACACTAACAGAGTAAACAAAGTGTGGCTGTTGGCCACAAAGTGAGTTTATTCCTAATCGTCAGGTAAGAACTTGAAGTTCTACAAGTGTCCATCATCAGTGAGAGCTTACAGCTGCTGGTCGGCCTTTAAGAGAGCGGTCCAGACTTGGTTTGCAGAGATGATGGATCTTCCAGATGTCTGCTGCTTAAGGAGAAGAAGAGCTGTTTACTGTTGCATAAAACTTTTTACTGACTGAGCTGCGCAGAATCACTGGACTGAATGAGTTTATAACAGAGGAGCAGAGTTTAGAGGTTAGAATCACACGCCTCACCTTAAGCTGGTTTCAAGGTGGTAAAGGGAGAGTGTTCAGTTTGAAGTTGTGACTGAAGTTTAGATGGTTTACCTGAATGTGACAACTTTGTGTTTGTTTGTTCACAGCCTTTGCTTATTTTAATCTCATCACAGTCGTGGACCCAATGGGTTCTGAGAGGTGACTCAGAGGAGAGACGGTGAACAGAGGAGATCCCGTCGTGTAAACACTGATCTGCACGCAGCTGTTCTGCACACGACGGACAGCTGACACAAAGAGGCGAAGACAACAGGAAACCTGAGCTGAAACAACCTGACCCCCGTGTCCCTGCAGGAGCCGCCATCTTCTGCAGCCTCTCTTGACCTCTGACCCTTCACATGTGTGTCGGGCATCTCCTGCTGGTCTCCAGTGACATTTACAGCCCTGAGCTTCAGAAAGACGCTTTCAGGAGCAACACTGATCAACTTCACGTCCCAGTAACGTGAACGCTGAGTCAGCATTCTGACCTTTTCCTGTTTTAATGTTTTTATTTTTTTTTTTATTTTACAATCCGGCTACTTCTGAACACTTTGCACTATTTTATCAGTTAGTAATCAAAATGTTTGGGTCATTCAGGAGATTTGTGCTCTGCCTTGTAGCTGAGATCTCTTCAGTTCCTTCAAAAACAACCAAAGTAAATTTGCCCTGTTCCCGTCCACTCTAGCTGCTTTTAGCTTCAGCTACTGTTCTGCTACTTTCAGAGTTTTCCTAACAGACAAGTCCCAGGTGAAACACATTCTGAACATTTTAAATGGCATTTGGCCAAAGACGAGATCACACACGAAAACATGCTCAATGTGCTTTTTCATGTAGCTTTAGTTATTGTAGCTTATAGCCACCATTCTGCTACTTTTAGCTACTTTACTTGTTTTAGCTACACTTTTTTTTTTACTATCATCTGTTCCTTTTAGCTTTAACTAAAGTTGAGATCATTTTATCTGTTTTTACTGATTTTAGCTGCTTTTAGCTTCATTAACTGTTTTTTTCCTTCTTTTCTGTAATTTTCCTACTTTTAGCTACTGTTTCACTCAGTTTCGTTATGGTTTTCCTACTTTTTGGTGTAGTTTAGCTAATTTTAGCATCTACTTGTTACTTTTTGCTACTGTTCAACTCAATTTGTCTACTGTTTTTCTAATCTTAGCATGTTTTTCTAGTTTTAGCTACAACGTCATAGTTTTACCTGCATGTAAAAGCTTAGTTTTAGCTTCTTCAGCACATTAAAAGAAAAGCCGTTCAGATTTCTCACTGCATTTTTCACAGAAAGTTTGGATTTCTTGTAACATTCATCTGAATGAAGAGAAACCGTCCTCTGAAACGACATTCACGATGAAGACACGTGAATTATGGCTGTGTGAGGAAACACAGCTGAAGCTGAGCATCTCGGGGTCAGCTGAAACAAAATTCTGGTTGTATTTCATGAATTCTTCGTTAAACATGTGAAGTGTGTCAGGACCTCCAGCTGTTTTCACTCTTGTTTGAGCGCTGGACTGAAACAAGAAGAAGGTTTGGGTCCGGTCATCACTGTAACCTCCTTTCATCTTTACGTTCATCAGCTCCTTTAGAGACAGAGGCTCCATGTTCATCGAAACTGTTCTGGTTTAAAAAAAAAACAGGATTCAAATTCTGTTGAGCAACAAAGAGTGGACTCGAACTTATCCCCAGCATCTCCACAGGGGACCAACAAAGACCTGACCCCACCAGTTCTGTGGAGCAAAATAAGCACTTTGACCTGTTGTTGAATGTGACGAGCCTCCAGTCAGCTGAAAATCACCGTCTTGTCTTTTAGGACATTTAAACCAGCTAATTTTACATCCATCCATCCATCCATCCATCCGTCCATCATCTTTACCCTCTTCTTCCTTTTAGGGTCACTGGTGCCCATATTCAACAGTCACTGTGGGAGAGGCGGGGACACCTTGGACATGTCTCCAGTCCATCACAGGGACACGTAGAGACAAACAACCATTCTCTCTCTCCCTCTCTCACCTGGGGACAAGTTAGAGTCACCAGTCAGTCTAACATGCATGTTTTTGATCTGTGGGAGGAAACCGGAGTACCCGGAGAAAATTTCCCCACTTTTTAAATTGATTCATTCACACCTGACTTTGGTTCGACTGGACGAGAACATTTCTGTTTTGGTTTCACTTCTGTGGAATTGATTGTACAGAGAGAAAATTGCACCAGATGAGCTCACGTGTAGATGAAAGTGTCACATCAGGCAGTTCTCTCCGGTTGTTAACCTCCTTCTGTGGGTTTTTGATGTATTTATGTTACGTTTAAACGGCTAAGAACCGTGAACGGAGAAAGCGTTATCTGATGGTTATTCCAGGCTCTAACTGGGATGGATGTTCAGTAGATTTACGAGAGACGGTGAATTCCTCCTGAGCCTTGAAAGTCAACCAGCAGTAAGGTGGTCCTTCATGTTTCTCATTAAACATCTGATCAGCTACAAACACCATCTGATAAGATTCACTCAAACTTACATTCAAACTCTCTTTTTGTCAGATTAGTGTTCATCAGTTCTAATTTCCCCTTTTTAAGCAAATATTCAGATTTATATAATTAAATTTAAAATAAACTGATATAGAAAATATGAAAATAAATGTATAATTGCAGAAGATTCTATTTATTATTTACAGTCTATGAAACACGAGAAAAGAGAAGAAACGAAACGTTTCATTTGTGTTTTAATGTACTTGTTTCAAAAGTTCTTATTAATGCTGAGTTTCTTTTACTAAAAGAAAGAGAGAAAATTTTATTACACCTCATCATCAATTTATTACTCTCTGAATTGTTGAGGATTTTTCTGTGACACAACGTGAGCAGGGCGTCATGACAAATAGATGAAAAGTCTAATTTGTATAGATTATTAGATTACTGCAGGATTTGTCTCTGATGTGAACCAGGAAGCTGAAGCCAAACTGGACTAGATTCTTTGTCAACTGGTTCCAGTGCAAGTTTTAAGTCCCGCCCCCTTCACATATACAAACAAACCCTTGTAAAAATTAATAAATACAAAATACTCCTGAAAACGCCTCACAGCTTTGGTGCGTATTGATTCTTGTTTACATTTCTGCTCTTTGTTTATTAGTTTGTGTCATACATTGAGCTGTAATTATTATTTCACGGCCTAAAGAAAAGTCATGCTTGTGAGAGGGGAAGTGGGCGGGGCTTAAAGCTCCACAGCTCTCATGGTTCCAAAGAATCATCATGACAGTTTTGATAAACCAAGTCCAGCTGTCTTTTATTGATCTATTATTATATTTGTTTTGTTGCTTGTTACAAAATATAAAATTAAATGTGTGTTTGGTTTCGTTTCCTTTTCATACAGATTAGTTTCACACAACAGCTTCACTTTGGAGGTTTCAGGCGTGAGAACAGAAACTGAAAAAGTTTTATCTGGTTTACATAAAATCCCACTCTTTGGCTGACCCCCCCTGAAAAATGAAACCTGTAGCATCTGTTTTAATGGTTTGTGGTGGTGACTAATGTTGCATCTCTGGCTCGCCAGAAGTGATTTTTATGGTTAAACCACATTTGATGTTTTTACAGAAACAATATAAGTTTGTTTAAATGAACCAGTTCAGATAATTGTTTCAAACTGGTTTTATTGACACTGTGCCAGGTAAAATGTGGTTTGCTTTAATGACTCTTCCTGTCAAAACATGGATTTATTCTTTATAATTATTTAATCAGATGTAAAAAAAATCATCATGGGGAGTTTGATCCAGTGGCATGCCCCATTCCCCCCCCCCCCCCCCCCAAAAAAAAAAAAATCTATTCAAAACTTTGTGTTAGGTGCATTTCATTAAGTTCCCAGGACTAAGCCCAAAACATAAAATCTGTATATATTTATTGAGAGGTGGACGATGAACACTAACCTTGAAAATTGCGTTAACATGACTTTATTAACTCCCTGAGCCCCCCAAGGGTTTGCTTTGACCACTTCAGACTTTTATCACAGAATCCTCTGAGCAGCGCAGCCTGACTGTGAACAGGTCAGGAAGAGGACTGGGAATGAAAAGCTCCTCATAGAGGCTGACTCTCTCAGAAGTAACGACGGGCCCAGGTTCACCAGTCTGTGAACAACTGAGTCTAAAAGTACTGGAACGATTTCAACAGAAAAATTGGGAAGATATTGAACATCCCATCGTCTAGAGTTCATTAAATCATAAAAATGTTTGAAAATCTGTAAAAAGAATCTCTGAGCACAAAGGAGGAGACTGAAAATCAATATTGTTGTGATATTCAGGCCCTCGGGGGCCTTAAAGACAGGTCTGGTTCTGTTCTGGACATCACGGGCTCAGGAACACTTCAGTTCATCCACACACGCTGCTTTAAAGCTCTATCAGGCAAAGAAGAAGCTTTATGAAAATCCTAAAACGTCTCTGGACCAACGCTCAGACTGAACTGAGACAAAGTGGAAAACGGTTCTGTGGAAGTGGAGAAGGACCATCCAGCCTGTTATCACATACAGTCCAAAAGCCTGCCTCTCTGATGATATAGGGGTGCATAAGTGCTGCTAGCATGGGCACCTTCCCTGGAAAGCCAATGCAGATAATAATTTAGTATGTCAACAATTTTATACTAAAGTAAATTCAATATCTCCGAGTTTCAAATAACTTAACGTGCTATTTTTCCCTCCAGTTTTTTATTGTTTTTTATTATTTTTATTTCTGGGGGTGACCAGCTGCTGGCTGTTGAGCTCAATGATGGTTTGACTGAAAACTGTGACGTTCCCAGTTCGGTTCGGGTGCGCAGAGGTTCTGCGGGTTCGGTTCGAGTCGTCGCTCCTCCCGCCCGTCGCTGCAGCTCGAGCCTCGGGTCAGTCGATCCGTGGACCCGAACCCAGCCCGGTCTTCCTGCCCCGGCTCCGTCCAGCACGCGCGGCTCGGCTCATCTGCTCGCGCTGTTTGGAGAAAGTCGCGCGCTGGTCACTGTGCGCAACGATGAGGCTTGGAGCTGCTTTCAAACGACTGCTGTGCACAGTCGTGCTTTCACTTCCTAACGTCGTGCACGCGCAAACAGGTAAGCAAATTGTCTGATTGGTCCGTCAGCAACCTGCTGAAAAATATAAAGTTAAAGAATGAAGATTATTTTACATCTTTCTCCAAGTAGGCTACATGAATATTAATTTATTAGTTGTTTGTTTGTATTCCTCTGCCATAAATAACTTGTTACAGCTGTCATGTCTGGATGAGATGGAGCTGCTAGATGTTCTTCAGGCACGTGAACAGGAAGTGAACGCTCAGACTTCCTGTTCAGGTGATGAGGACAGGAAGCTCAGACATGTCTTTCCTCTTGGTTTGTCACTGCAGCAGGTCAGAAGATCAACCAGGTTCAGAGTTTCCTTTGCTGTGGCAGCCATTTTTAACTGGGCTGTATTCTAAAGTTAATCAGAACATCCAGTAATTACTCTGAAAGTTTCATTTAGATCATCTGGTTCACGAGATATTTTGCTAACAGACAGGGTTGACTCCAACAGTTAAAGTCCTGCATCAATTAGTGATTAGAGAATGTGTTGTAAATAACTCTCAGCTACTACCATGCCCAATATGAGCTCACTCCCTGTAAAAATGACCAAGTCGTCACCGTTTTCACATTTTCTAAAACTAGCTGTGGCGGCCATCTTTAAACAGGCTGACTCCAGATGTCAATCATCTCTAGATATACATGCTGTGATTATGTTTTGAGAGTTTCATGAAAATCAGTTCTTTGGATCATGGGACATTTTGCTAACGCATAGAGAAAACACACACACACACACACACACACACAGGTTTGTTTGCTATCTTTGTGGGGCCTTTGCATTGACTTCCATTCATTTTTCATTCATTTCTATAGCCTAACCATGACCTTTATCCATAACCTAACCATTACCAGTACATACCTAACCCTAAACCTAACACATCCTCAATTCACACCTTAGTCCTAAACCTAGCCCCTAACCCACCAACGGGACTTCTTCTTATGGGGCCCGGGCTTTGGGCCCCATAAGGAGCAGTTGGTCCTCACAATGTAGTATAAGTTGGAAAAATGGGCCTCACAAAGTAGCATAAACAAGGACACACACACACACACACACACAGTCTCCATCCCTGACCTCAGAGGTCAGTGAAAGCTGAGATCTGCAGACAGGTCGCTGAAAGAAAGGACAGGAGCTGTCGAGGCTTCCTGTCCCCGTCACCTGAACAGGAAGTCTGAGTGTCCACTTCCTGTCCGTGTGTCTTAGAGGGAATTCCAACAGCGGTCATGACCTCTGAGGTCAGGGACTGAAACTTTTCCACAGGGCAGACAAACGGGAGCCTCGTCTGTGAGTCGTGTCTTTTTTAATCACCTGCCACCTAAAGAAGAAAGGCGGGTGACGGTGTTTTTACCTGTGGACGAGTGCAGGTTTGTTAGCAAAACATCTCATGAGCCACTGGACAAGTCATAGAAAGGGTTCATTAGAGTTGCTCATCTATAACTAATTAACTTTTGGAGTTAACCCAATTTAAGATGGCCGCCATAACCACCCACTAAACATTAGACGTCGAATGGATGTGCAGATCACGTCTATATTGAGTCCGTCGGTCCAATTCTGGACGTCTCCACGACGTGCAAACAAGGTCCACCCTGGACGTCCAACCATGGCCTCACTTGTCCGTCGATATAAAGTCGAATGTTTGAACGTTGGACTTGGAGGTCGTCATCCAAGACAGGTGCAGGTGTGCCTTAGTGAATCATAATTTGTATAACCATAAAATTTACAATCATAATTTATAATCCTACAAGGGTAACTGTGCACAGTTGTGTTTACAGTTTATGATTGTAAATTTGCACGTCTTCATTCATAAACCAACTGTTGCTATTTTCTCTTGAAGCTATTCTGTTAATCCAGTAAAGAGGATAAAGGAAAAAAATTAAGGAGTGATTTATTTGTAAAACTTAGTCCATCTGTTTCTAGTGAAATTTAAGGAGTGATGATTTAATTGTAAACCTAATATTAGTAGTGGTTTCCTGTTGCACAACAGATGGTCAAATATATATTTCTTTAACTTTGTATGGCGCAGCGGCAGAGCAGCCGACTTTAAACCTGAAGGTCGTGGGATCGAACCCCAGTCGTTCCAACATCCATCTGAGGGTGAATGTGTTAAACACGGCATGGGAACATGCAATGAAGACAACACGAAGCACTTACTAATTCTATTTTTATCTGAAGTGAATAAAATAAGTCAAATTTTGATGTAGAAAATACGTCTATATTGACCGTCCAATGGACGTCGGAAAAAGACGTCGTGTGGAGTCGCAGTCTGCACCTGGGAGGGACCAAAATTACACGTGCACAAACGACTTTAAAAAGACGTTGTTTGGACGTGTCCTTGCTCAGTCACTTGCAAAGACAAAGATGCTGCAGCTCAGCCGGTTTTCGCTGTGCGACCCCTAACGCAGGGAGCAGCCGAAAGAAGAAAAATAAATATATATATATATGTGTGTGTGTGTGTGTGTGTGTGTGTGTGTGTTCATTAGATGCTGGTGTTAATCATAGCGGCGTGGATGTTTTTTTTATTTTTATTTTTATTTACCTTTATTTATCCAGGTCGTCTCATTGAGTCACAGAACTCATTTTCAAGAGAGACCTGTTTGGGAGTAGATGGTGGGGGTTGAGGGGCCTTGCTCAAGGGCCCAGAGTAGGGCAAATGAGGGTGGAGGACAGTGTGTGTGTGTTTCACCTTTTCCACCCACATTTTGACATTGTCGATCCGGGGAGTTGAACCGGTGACCTTCCAGTCACAGGCCCACCTTCTCTAACCGCTGTGCCACCGCTCCCCCATGCTACTGAACTTACTGTGTTTGGGTCAGACTGTGTTTGCTCCAAGTGATGCTCAGCTGTAGAGGTTGGCAGGATGGGTCTGTGTCCTGGAGGAGGTCAAGTGATGAATGAGATCAGAGTTGAAAACAAATAAAAAGTGACGCTTTGAATCTTTAAGTTGTTTGTAGCCGTTCTGTTACAGTACGGTCACTTCAGTGGGACAGAGATTAGAAACCGGTGCGTTCAGATTTTCTTCACCACTTTTTGTTTTTGCAGAGATGTCAGAAAGTTCACCCACACCGTCACCGAGCTGCGGCGCTGCCGAGGCGATCATCGGGGGAACGTGTCACAGTAAGAACCTGCTGCCGCCTTCATGTCCTCAAGTTGTCTCCTCGCGTTCAGGCCAGCACCAAAACAACCAGGAGGTGGAGGAGGTGGAGGAGGTGGAGGAGCTGCGGTGCGTTCAGGAATGCATCCACAGCCTCTAATGAGCTGAACATGTGTTCACGGCTCCCTGAGCCCCGTCTCCATGGCAACACTGGGCTTTATGCCAAGGCAGGTTTTGAGAAGCATGTAGAGAAGGAGGGGAATAAAAAATACTGCACACGTTTAGTAAAGCTCATAATTAACTCCACTTCTGTCTTCAGTTCAGTTGGAGCCTTTCTTGAAGGGTTTTGTACCTTTTTATTTATTTATTTTTTTCAAAACCTGCAGCAAATTTGTTAAAGTGTTTGTGCTAATGTCTAAACTGGTTCTGATGGAACAACAAATCATAAATAATAACAGAACGATGCAACGACGACTCACAAACTAACCCACCGTCTCCGATTCTTTCAGCCAATCAGCCTCCTGTGCCGTCTGTGCCGGTGATCGTCTCAGAGGTGACAGGTGACACCGTCTACCTGCGGTGCAGCTTTGAGAGCCGCCCCGGCGGCTCCCTGGGCTTCGTGACGCTCTGGTCACGCCTCTCATCTGAGGGCAGGAAGGAGGAACTCAAACAGGAGACCACCGTCCACCCCTCCACCCTCATCGAGCTGGATGGCTTCAACCTCCGCCTGGGGGACAAGGTGCGACTCTGGGCTGCTGCGATGATCCAGACCTCAGCTGGTTTCAGAGACGCCGACTGTCTGAGAGCTGGACAGATGCTAACATCTGCAAACGTTTTAAACTCAGACAAGACTGAGGATTTGGTTTTTGGACCTGAGCACCTTAGGAATGAATGTTTCAGTCTTTCTCCCTCCTTAGATGCATTAATCTGTCCTCCAGCTCTAATGTTAAAAATCTTGGTGTTACTTTTGATCAGGACATGTCTTTTATCCCCCACATTAAAAACGTTACTAGAACCTCCTTCTTCCACCTGCGTAATATCACTAACATTAGAAACATCTGATCTAAAGATGATGCAGAAAAACTGGTCCATGCATTTGTCACGTCTAGACTGGACTATTGCAATGGTTTATTATCTGGGTGTCCAAATACTTCTTTAAAACGTCTTCAGTTGATCCAAAATGCTGCTGCCAGAGTCTTAACTGGAGTTACTGGGAGAGATCATATCTCTCCAGTTTTAGCTTCTCTCCATTGGCTCCCTGACAAATCCAGAATAGAATTCAAAATCTTCTAACCTACAAATCCCTCAACAACCTAGCTCCATCTTATATTACAGATCTTGTTGTTCCATATTTTCCTAACAGAGCACTTCACTCTCAGACTGCAGGTTTACTTGTGGTTCCTAGAGTTTCCAGAAGCAGAATGGGAGGAAGATCTTCCAGTTCTCAGGCTCCTCTCTTGTGGAACCAACTTCCAGTTTCTGTCCATGAGACTGACACATTGTCCAGTTTAAGACTGGGATTAAGATTTTCCTTTTTGATAAATCCTATAGTTAGGGTTGGCTTGGGTTTCTTGAGCTATCCCTTAGTTCTGCTGCTATAGGCTTAGACTGCTGGAGGACAAACTGACCACATGTCCTCTCTCTGCTGCTGTCTTTACTTACTCTACTCTACCTGTTTGTGTTTCAATTATTTCTATCTTAACGTGTGTTATATTTTTAAGTACACCTGAACTATAGAAAGTACACCTGAACTATAGAAAGTACACCTGGATTATAGAAAGTACACATGGATTATAGAAAGTACACCTGGATTATAGAAAGTACACCTGGATTATGGAAAGTACACCTGGATTATGGAAAGTACACCTGGATTATAGAAAGTACACCTGGATTATAGAAAGTACACCTGGATTATAGAAAGTACACTTGAACTATAGAAAGTACACCTGGACTATAGAAAGTACACCTGGACTATAGAAAGTACACCTGGACTATATAAAGTACACCTGGACTATAGAAAGTACACCTGGATTATAGAAAGTACACCTGGACTATAGAAACCACACCTGGATTATAGAAAGTACACTTGAACTATAGAAAGTACACCTGGACTATAGAAAGTACACCTGGACTATAGAAAGTACACCTGGACTATATAAAGTACACCTAGACTATAGAAAGTACACCTGGACTATAGAAAGTACACCTAGACTATAGAAAGTACACCTGGACTATATAAAGTACACCTGGACTATAGAAACCACACCTGGACTTGTGATTCTGTCTTTTTCTATTTCCTGTCCTCTCAATCCAGCTGGTTGAAGCAGATGTTCGCTCATCCTGAGCCTGGTTCTTCTGGAGGTTTCTTCCTGTTACAGTGAGTTTTTTCTTCCCACTGTCTCCTCTGTTCTTGCTCAGGATGAGAGACTGAGCTGAAGGGAAGATTCAACACATCTGCTGCTTCTTTTAGATAAAGAACTTTTCTAAAAAAGTTCAATCTGGTCCTCTGGACATTTAAAAAAACAAAACAAAGCAAATCAACAAAAAAATGTAGAAATGTTTCGTCTCTCATCCTGAGGACTTCCTCAGTCTGAGGTGCTGTTTTCAGCTCAGTCTCTTAAATAGCACCTTCTCAGAGTGGATCAACCAGTTTTGCTGCTGACAACCAGAACCAGCTGATCACATGCTCAAGAAGGACCATCAGCCTAACAATGGATCATTAGCACCTGATGGCTGTTTACTGTTCACAGAGGGCTGGACTCCTGGCAGGGTCCAATGCAGACATGTTCCTGTTTTTAGTTTTCTACATTTGTCTTGGAATCTAGCTGTTTTTTGTTTTGTTACCTTTTTCCTTTTAGCCATCCTATTTGTTAAAAAAAAAAAAAAAAAAAAAACTATAGTATGAGTTTTTATAACTGCTTATTGTTGTTGCTGTTGTCCATTGTTGTCATCTTTCTTTGTTGAAATCAGGTCTCTCTTGTAAATGAGTCCTCGAGGCTCAATGGGATTTACCTGTAGAAATAAAGGTTGATTGATTGATACCAGCAATCACAGCATTGTAAGAGGGGGACAGTTGAACCAGGAGGCTCCACCCCTGTTTAATGATGGACGGTTTCTTTTCACAAAGATGGCCTCCTTTACTCCTCTCTCAAACCATCGTTCCTCTCTGTCCAGGATGTGAACATCTTCATCCCTGAAAGAGTGACCGCTGGCCTGGAGATGAGTGTAGACCGCAGAGTCCTGGCCTGATGATGTTGATCTTCTGTGCTGGTCCATCCTTTTGGCCAGTGGCTGTTTAGTTTCCCCGATGTAAGACTGATCACCCTCCTGACACTGAACAACATACACAACATTGCTCTGTTTGTGCCGGGGGACTGGATCTTTGGGATGAACCAGTCTTTAATGTATTTTGGGGTTTAAAAGCCACTGGGACGTTATGTTTAGAAAATAAACGTCTCAGTTTCTCTGATACTCCCTCAACATATGGAATGACCACTGGTCTGGGTCTGGGTTCCTCCTTTTCACCTGTTGGCTGACTGGAGTCCTGTTTGGGTTTCTTCTTTCAGGAAGGCCCAGTTAGGATATCCACATTGCTCTAGAGCCTGTCTTGTGTGGGATTTCTCCTTCTGCCTGGCTCCTGAGCTAGTGGGGACGCTGTCTGCTCTGTGGTACAGAGTCCTGATGACTCCTAACTTGTGCTCCAAAGGGTGAGGAGAGTCAAACTGCAAATACTGGTCTGTGTGGGTGGGTTTGTGGTACACCTCGGTTTGCAAATGTTTGCAGTTTGCGCATGTGATCAGCTGGTTTTGGTTGTCAGCAGCAAACTGGTTGATCCACTCTGAGAAGGTGCTATTTAAGAGACTGAGCTGAATACAGCACCTCAGACTGAGGAAGTCCTCAGGATGAGAGACGAAACGTTTCTAAATTTTTTTGTTGATTTGCTTTGTTTTGTTTTTTTGAATGTCCAGAGGACCAGATTTAACTTTTTTAGATTTTTCTACCTGGATTATTGAGCATGCATCAGGATATAAAGAACTTTTACTAATTGTATTTTTTATGTGTGTGAATGTTTGTGTTCAGTGTCCTGACACGACTTCTGCTGTGACTTGGAGTTAAACTGAACTGAACTGAATTTAAAAAATGTTGGAGAAGAACGGGGCGACTGTCCTCCACAACCATCGGAGAGACTCCGAGTCAGACAGAAAACAACGTTCTGTTACAGACGGTTCCTCTAACCTGCTGAGTCACGGGGTGGACTCAGTTTTTCATTTTGTCTTTTAGTGGTTGAATTATATAACAACTTGTATAATGTTTAATATATAAATTCATAGTAATAATAATTATAGCTTGTCTTGCTCTCTCAGATTTTTTGCTCCTGCTCCAGTTTCTTCTTGGACTCTCCAGATGTTCGGAGCCCTTCAGTGGAGAGTCGGGAGTTCTTTGCTGGTATTCGGGTATTTATCAGTTACTTTTATATTTTAGAGCCCAGTAAATGCAGTCTATGCATGTTTACTATATTCACTAATATATGGCAATAAGTACGACTTTATGTAATGTAACTGAAACAAACAATAGTAATAATGTATTACAATATCAAATTCTAAAAACTTATTTAAATAACAATTTAAATGATAAGTGTTTGAAGATAAGTTTAGTTTATTTCTGTTAAATTCTTGTTTTGTGCAGCTGAAAGCCGAAGCGAGACGCGTGTCGGAGGACGGCGGACGCTTTGAGGTGGAGGTTGCGAGCACGGTTCCTGTCCCGTGTCCCGGCGGTTCTTTCTCCTCTGCAGACCGGTGCTTGTTATCCCTGCAGCTCAGCACGAGCAGTCAAGGTCAGGACAAGGACACCGGCTGAAGCAGCAGACTGTTCCGCAGCAGATGTCTTCACTTGAAGCTGAAGAAGGTCTGAAGCATCATGTTCTTTTCTTTATCCTTGCTGTGTTTTCTAACGGATCAAACTGGATGGGACTGGTGGTGCTGCAGACGAGGGTCTGTTGGGTCCAGACCTGTCTCTGTCGTCCTGTGTGCTGGATTTGGCCCCGGGCCCCTGCAGAGACGGGGTCTGTAGTCGGGCTCTGATCCACTTCAGCCCCGTCACAGACTCTGCCAGAGAGGGTGAAAGGACCACCAACATCTCCGTGAAGCCCGTCGTCACGCAGAACGTTCTGTGGAATGGATACTCACCAGAACCTGTTCAGGTAAACATTTTGTTTATTAATATTATTATTAACTTTATTTATTTCCATAAACAGAAATGCTAATTAGAATTCAGTCTGTTGTTCATTTGGTTTCTGCAGACAAACTGCTTCCAGTCTTTGTGCTGTTTTAACTTTAAATATGAAAAGGATCGCTGTGAATTTTACTTTTTGTGTCTTTCACACTTTATGAAATATTTAATTTCATTAATATTCTTCCTGTTTTAGCTTGTATTATTCTTGTTTTAGCTCGCGCTCTTCTTGTTTCGGCTCGTCTTCTTGTTTTAGCTTGTATTCTTTTTTTATTTGGCTTGTATTCTACTTGTTTCAGCTTGTCTTTTACTTGATTCAGCTTGTCTTCTTGTTTAGCTTGTATTGTTCTTTTTGTAGCTTGCATTCTTATTTTAGCTTGTGTTCTGCCTGTTTCAGGTTATCTTCTTCTAGTTTTAGCTCGTTTCAGCTCGTCTTTCTTGTTTCAGTTTGCATTCTTCTTGTTTTATCTTGTCTTCTGCTTGTTTTAGCTCATTTTTTCTTGTATTAGTGCGTCTTCTTCTTGTTTTATCTTGTCTTCTGCCAGTTTCAGCTCGTCT